TTATCTCCAACACTGGGGGATCACACCTAGAACCATTCAAGTGTATACATAGTGGTAAAACTGGTATGTGACTTCAAAAATATATTGGGCAGTAGGAAGTTAAAGACTAATCTGATTCCTTCTAGGTCCATTTTTTAAACAAAATTTAAATCTCCCGAAATATATAGATAACAAAATAATTGCTCTACAATTATCCTTTTGAATTTCAACCGAAGAGAGTGTTCTTTCATTTAAACTTTAAAGAATATGACCCATATAAAACCGAAGCTGTTCACGCATCTCGATATCAATTCTCATGCACCATTTACTCCGTCACCATTAATACTTCCAGCGATAGGCGTAAATAAATATGTCTCATCGATTACACGCTGAGCGGGTAAGATACCAATAAATTTCAGCATCGGTAATTCTGGATTCGGTACCAGTCATTAACATCGTACCGTCGTGTTTCTGGATTGGTCCGGAGACGCTTCGCACGGCATGGTTTCGAAAGAAAACAAGAAAGAGTGCAAACGAACCGATCGCGGCTGCAATTTTATTCAATATCGTAGCGCGGCGTGTCGCATAAGTGGACAAGAATAGCGTTTAAGGTGATCATCGCTGATGAGCGGCTCCGCCAGAAGGAGAATGAATAATAGACCGGTCGGAGGGAACACGTTCTGATTGAGTTAACCGCCGGCATACGTCATTATACGCCGACTCGTCGGGCTCTCGACGCCAAGGCCGGCTGCTGCGAATACATACAATCTCGACGTCGTATTCAGGTCGTATTCAGGTCGTTCTTAATTAACCTGCCAGTGCTCCGATGGACGCTACGACATGTTTCTTCGCGAATCATCGACGGCTCCGATCGCTGATGATTGTTTCGGATAGGATAATTAAGAGATTTTATTCCGGATTGAATTCCACGGCCGGCCTGTAAAACATGGCGAATTTTTGTTGGGATAAATTCATTAATACGAGCAACAATAAAACGTTTTACATGAACAACATATTTTACGGTGATTCGATTTCTATGTTTTGGTTTTCCTTATATTCGTGGTTTCCCGTTTTGTTTCACAAGTGGAAATGATTTGAGTATTATACGTTCCAAGGTAAGTCAAACGGTTCAGACACTTCGGAGTCGTTTGAGCGTTTTGAGCGTTTGAGTCGGCCGAGCCGTTCTATAAACGTCCGAACTGTTTGAACTGTTTGAAACATTTAAACTGTCTAAAACGTCCGAATCATCCGAACACTGTTTGAACTGTTCGAACATATTTTCTTTGAAAACGTCCAAACATCTTCGGTCTGTTCGGTGCCATCACTAAATACAGGCGCTAACCATACGCTATGTAGCAGCAAATTTTCAAAGCGCCTATAGGCACCACCAGTAATGAAAGGGTTGAGAAGGCGGTGAATGCAAAACTTCTAGCATGCGCGTCAAATATAAATAGTCTAGGAATATCTGATCTTGTTAACAGCCACGCATAACATTCAACTACTTGGCATATAAGAGAAAGTTTGTAATAACATACTAGATAAAGTTAAACAAGTCAGTAGAACTGAAAGAGGTTTAATAATTATCTTTAAACGTGCTTAAGGTAAATGATAAAACATTAAACAGCTTTTTTTAGCATTCCTATATAAAAGAAAGAAATTTTCTTGGTTTCATATCCAAAATGATATAGATTACTATGTTATAATTTATTATTTCCGCGTTGGTACTTATTAGTTATTCACTTTCCCCATGATGCATTTCGTTTGAGCTAAAATAATTTATCGCATTGAATTATGAGCGAAGAAAAAATTCATAAATTCCTCTTTGGTCGGCTCTTCGTGCTTGTTACATGAATTATGCAAATCTTCGATCAGCTGAGATATACGATGACGATGCAGGTACTTACAGGTTTACCGAATTATTATCGCAAACAACTTCAGGGGGTAAACTTCTGTTTTCGACGTTGAACAGATTAAGATAATTGGGATTCATAAAATATTGCATATCTCCGAAAATTTTTATGAAAACGACCACCTATGTTGAAATAATTTACCTTTACCATTTGACTTTCTGTTCTCGTTTTAGTCACAGTTTCTCTAGTTCGCAGTAAATTTTAAATAAAACTTACCATATCGTTAAAAATTTTTCATTTCAAAAATATAACTATTGAAAACTGATATAATATAGACATTTGTCTCGATGAAATAATTTCTCTTCTCCACAATGACGTCTAAAAATTCGAACCCGTGGATTCTTAATACTTTTACTGGCGAATAATTATAAACAGTAAAAACAAAAACGATTAACCAATTACATTTATAGCCATATATTTTGAACACTGAAACCGCTGCATTCAATTGCAAGCAACAACTTACAATCACTTGAAATCCTCCGAATGTTGAAACATCGCAACGAAACTTCGCGTGCTTTAACGGGAAACTTATCGCACGATCGAGCGTAGTAGGCAGTTAAAGACACATTTCTCGCGATTAGACAAGTCGTAAGAGCGTGAATATAAACTACCACCTCGCCCGCATCAAAATATCAATACTCGCCGGGGCCCCCGGGTTCGGCGTAATCGCCCTACAATCGGACAGGTTATGCAAATCCCTGCCTCCCCCGAACGCTTTATTCCCTCGTTCCGTTGTATCATTACATCCACAATGAAATCGCGAATAAAGGCGTCCGCAAAGGACCTCTCTCGCTCTTGGAATCCTCGGAACAAACCGTCGTCCGCGTATCTTCGAGCGACGCTTGTTACGTAAGCCGCTCGAAAAGTCCGGGACCACCTTCGGGGCTGGCTAAAACCTCCAGATAATCTGCTCGTTTCCTCGGCAAGATTTCGCCGCGGCTGTCTGGCCATAATTGGCGAACGGCGTCGCGCAAAAGCAAGACAGAATGTCGAAAAGGGCTGGCAAACGAGGGCAACGGGGAAGAGGGGGAGGGGATCAAGAGGTTGGAACAGATGGGGGGGAGGGTGTACGCGGAGAGGAACGAGAGAGGGAACGCGGGAATTGGAAAAAAAAAAGATGGCCTCGGTCGACGATGCTCATGAATCTCATGATCGATGCGCGATGCTCGGTGTGCACAGTTAAAACGTGTGTCCAAGTTGGAAGGCCGCGGGCCGATGCCCGGTAATGGCCGTCCCGGGCTTCACCGTGTTACGTGTCAGCCCGTGAGACGTTCTGCAGCAATTTACGGCTGCGTACACAGTGCCATTACGAACCACCCGTAAATAAGACGATGCACGGCCGATACGCCGGGGACAGCCTTATACCGAGAGACGGTTCATAATTTTTCGCGTTCTCACGTGCGTGGGTGTCGTTAATTTCTGGGCCCATGAGCCGCGAAGTTTTTGTCGGGCCCGCTTTCGCGACGGGTTGGCAGGACTGTTTTTCTGGCTGTTTTCAGGCGGTACCGTGATCTCGGAACGGCTCGATGTTTTAACGCATTGCGGACCGTATGATATCAAGGTTATAAATCGTCTCTTAATGTCCACAAAATCTTTTCTCGAAAAGAGTAAAATGTTTTATTGTTTTATTAAACTGAACGTCAGCTGCATACTTTGTGGAAATCGTTTGACTAGAACGCCGCGGGATGATGTATAACACACTACTGCTCATAAGTATTAGAACACTTAGTCTGTGTGAAGATAATGTAATGTTTTGTAGAAAATTACATATTTTAGGCCATGTTTGTTACCAACTTTATAGTAGCATAGGTATTATCCATCCAGTTTAATATCTTCTAAGCAATAGTTCTGTTAGACATTCAGCAATTGCGTAATACCTTCTAACATTTACTGTACATTCGACAAGCGTCCTAATACTTATCGATGGGATTGTACATGAATCAACATTTCCGGCCTGTAAAGTTTCAACAACAGATGTCGATTCACGTATCAGGTCCAAAATGTGTTAATAATACGCAGATGAGAATCTCTTCGGACAATATTCGCAATTAAATGGTTTGGGAGTCTTGATAATTTTGAACGATTAGAAAATAAAAATATTTTCAGGTCAATTGTTTGAATTAATTCAGATTTTTATGTCATCGAGTTAATGTTTACGAGATAATATTGTGTAAGTGACACATGTTGTAAGGATTCTTCGTGTTCGACGAGTGTGTGTCTTTAAAAGCGTTTGAACTAATGTACGTACTTACTGAAATATCTTTTATAATTTATCGAAATTAAATTTCTGCATCGTATTATTATTCACAACACCAACACTGGTAACAATAGCAACTTTGTCGTTAAAAACAATTGAAAACATAAAATTCGCATAAACATCGAAAGTTACCTGCTCCTTTGATAAACTACATTTTTCGTTGTATGCAGAATTTTATTATTGTCTTCAAAATAATACCTGGTTTATGCGAGTAAATGAAAGCTGTTTGGAAACCGAATTATTTGTGTACAAATAGATGCGTGTGCGTGGCTAAAATTACACATAATTGGTTAATTCTCGAAACGTTCAGTATATCGTTCCGATAACGGAATTTAGGCGTTCATTGCATAATGCAGTGGTGTCGCTTCAATGCAACGGATACGCACGAGAGCACGCGAGAACCGTGTTCATTTCGTGCCGTAAAAGTAGGTCACAGACGGAATATTCGTTTCATTACGTGATTCCGCCTCTTTATTTCAATGTCCGCGGTCGTATAGTCAATCTCCATTATCCGTGTCTCAGGGGTTGTACCAGGATCGTTTGAACAAATGCCAAAGGTTATTCCCTCGTAAACTTTGTACGTTATACCCCGAAAGTACGAGGAAAGCATTTTATGAGCCTCCTTTCGGACCTAACCTAGACCCTGCTTTTCACGAATTAATGCGATCGAACTGAGAAACTATGGATCAGTCGTCCATACAATGTACCTACCATCCATGAGCGGTACACGTGCGTAGAATCAATAGTTTTCGTTTTTCGATCTTTTTATGGAGACATAATTCGTGATTCCCAAAGGTTTCGTCTCGAATCGATCCTCTACGAGCATGATACACTCAACCTGTAACGAATGGTGTATGTTCTTGTTTCAGGTTGCGACACGACCTTGGAGCCCGGATCAGGGCAAGACGCGGGAGATGACCAAGCTTTGCAACCATAAGAGGAAACTTTTGCTGCCAATAACGGCGGCCAGCAGTCCTGTTGCATCCTGTATACCGACGGTCTCCTCGTCGACATTATCCTCTGGTCCGCCTGTAACCGCGATTCACGTGAACGCAGACTCGCCCACCTCACCTGACAAGGCCAGGAAAGGTAAGAACGCGACCTTGCGCGAATACTTTGATTATTCGTTAATTCGGGGATCTTGTATTCATCGCCTTTATTCAGTTTCTGTGCATCGTCCTACTCTCCTATTCTCTTGATACACGTATGTGGAGTATTTTACATATTTTTGTTGTTTGCATACATTTATTTTTTTTTTCGTATACAAATGCCTTACATGATTATATGATAATTGCATTATAAAATATTAATATGAGGACAACGGAGTGCATAAATAATTTTTTTTTTATTACGTCTTGTTGAGACCACTACTCGCCAAAATAAACCGACAATTTATCTAACTACATAAATCTTTAACAGATCCTTTTACGTATAGTATATTTAAAACTTTTGCAATTTATAACAGTTTTCATGAGAATTGTCGCCAAAAGAGAATACAAAAATTGATCTACGCGGTATCAGTGTTTTGAAATTACCTATGCTTCTAAAATTTTTTTTTTAATATTTTGCCTGGATTTATTTATACAGAGTGTTCCCAAAATCGTAGTAGAATCGATCGGGTGGTAATTCTATAAGAAAAGATAAGTCGAAAAAAGGAACAATTGTTTTTCGTTTGAGGTTTCGTTTTCGAAAGAATCGAATTTGAAATTATTCTGAAACATGTGTATTCGTCGTGGCGGTGAGTAGAAACGGAATGTAGTGAAAAGACATACAGTAATGTCCTGATAAGTGTGAATGCTTCGGTCCGTAGAGTCACACTCACGGTCAGCACGGACAGTGTCAGCACCTCGTCAATCTGTTTATTGCTCGAAGGTCGAGTCTCGGCAGCTTACCTTTGTAGTGTTCCGACATAGAAAAAGACAAGCGAGTGAAAAACATCTCTGTCCACTCACATTGTAATCGTTGCGGTTCGCGTTATCTTACTCGGTTTCGATGTGTCTCGTTCGTTCTCTTCGTCACACAGTCCGATTGTGTCTGTACCGTTTCGGCCAATAATAAAGATACGAGTGACTGGAAGTGATCCAGCTAAGTTCATTCGTCGGCAGCTCTTTGGGCAGTCGCTAACGATTGAACGCTTCGACGAAGCGTCGTACATATGCATATACATTTCCCCGCTCTGTCCGTCGAGTCCGTCGTGCCAGTCGGTGAGAAGGAGGAGAGTTTTTTCGACGAGTCGACGCAACGGCTGGACGAGTGGACATCAAGAAAAGATTACATTCCCGCATATCGGTGAGACAACGCTAATGCAACGATGAAACTTTTTTATTTTTTATTCGTTGTTAATGAAACTTTTACCAACATATTCGTGAGATTTTTCTGATTAAAATGATACCAAACACGACACAATTCGAACCATATTTACTCATGTAGAAAGTCTTAACAGTTCATATTCGTTCATTAGCGCTTGTGATAAATCATAAGTAAATATGATCCAAATTATATCGTGTTTGGTATCATTTTAATCAGAAAAATCTCACGAATATGTTGGTAAAAGTTTCATTAACAAAGAACCAAAAACAAAAAGTTTCATCGTTGCATTAGTTCCCCTCGTTCAGCCGTCGACTCGTGAAAGGGAAGCCGACGCGGCGCGCCGGGCAAAAATTATACGCTTGACTGGTTCCACGGCCCCCTTCCCCAGTGGTGGGGATGACGACTTCACACTTATCGTGAGCAAATCGACTCACAGTTATCACGACATTACTGTACTAGCCAAGTCCTATTATGTAAATTGCAGGTGTATCCAGCAGATTTTTAAATTCGGTTATGTATGTCGAAGACGAAGCCTTAGAAGGAAAAATATTACCCATTTCTTCGACTTATTTGTGCATATAGAATCACCACTTGGCCGATTGCATCACGATTTACGGGCATCCTGTATTAGGGTTCATTTTATTATAGTTTATATTGCATGGAAGGATTAAAGGATAAGTGGTGGAATACAGGCATTTATTAATTCAATATTTATTTCTTCTAATTGTTTTTATTAACACATAACGTTCTGCTATATCTTACGAGTAATTTAACCCTGCTGTTCTCGTCGGATCTACATATATGACTCGAAATGAAAATGATTTTTCAATAGGTATTATGTTTTTAAATATTTGTTTTTAATATCAAGCATATTTAAATTTTACGTCTATTTTTTGAATATTTCCCATTTCTCAAGGACAAATCATTTCAAAATTCGAAATAATTTTATTCGAAAAGATACGAAACGTGTTAAGAATAAGTGAGGAGAACAGCAGGAGTAAGTAATCGATAAATTTAAGTAATGAAGTTAACTTTTAAGGACAAACCATTTAATTATTTAAATAATTACTATGTAATTTGTAGTGACCCACAAAATTTCCATATAACTACATTTCTCTGTCATCATAAATTAAACGTCTTCATGCATTCGATATTGCACTAATTAATGACATCTGAAAGTTGAATAGTGATTTATGACTTAAAATTCAGTCTTAAAGTTGTACAATTAGTTTAGTATCGCAGCGACTGCTACATATCTGAATCTAAATTATTCACTTATATTTTAAGATAAACAGTGAACTGATCTATTTTGTACGATAACTATATTAAGCAAAAACTGAGAGTCCCTGTTAATCCCCGAAATCATGTCTTCATATATGGGTTCGTTCATAGATCTGTGGAAAATAAACATTTCCATTCAAATTTAAGGGTGGAATGTAGTATCAGGGAGTAGCCTAATTAGAAAACATATTCAGCCCAAGGGTAATCTCGCGAAGGAAATCGCGCGGAAGGAAATTTTTCCAGTCGAGAGTTTTATCCCTGACGGCGGCTGGTGTGGGTGGGTGTCTCCGATCGATCAAAATCAGAATTTTCACCGAGGGAAAAGTTTCTTACCCGGGCTTCAACGAGCTACGAACTCGTCGAATTCGATCGTATTATACATACTCGCCAATCAATCTCCACGCACATATATATAGACACTTGCCTTCGCGGAACCGCTCGCGCGCGCACGTACACGTATTCCAGCCATCAATATAACCTCCAAAGAAGTTTTCCCATCGATCCGCCGTATTAACAAAGTTCCACTGGTAGCCGGGGCGGCGCGCCATAATCGCCGGGAACCGTTTATTCACCGTCGTACCAGAAAACACGCGGCGGAAACTTTTATTGGAAGACGACCAAAAGTTTTTCCCTTGGCCCCGCCAGTGGCGGTGTGCGGGTTGCGGCCCCGAGACCGACCGACTCGTGATCATTAGGGCGCAACGGATGAGAGAAAAGTCTCGGTGAAGAAGAAAAGAGACGACGAAATTGCGGCATTAGTGGAGTCTGTTGCCGCCCTCCCCACCCCCTCTTTGTCATTCTTTCGCGCACCGAGAGATGGCATTATACCTCTCCGATGTCGGTAAAAAAAGGGGTGGAGGTGGCAAGCGCAACGAAGCAGCATTGGCGGAGAGGCGTCGAGCCAAGGGGAGTAGAATGATGTATCACCGTGGCTGCTAATCTCTCCGTCCGGATTTCATTACTAAATCCTATAACCGACCGAGCGGGATCTCGCCTCTTTTTTTCTTCCCTCTCTTTTCTTGCCCTTTCCCGCTAGGTGGTTCCTTTCTTCCCTTTTTCGTATTTTCCTTTCTTCATCGAGTCGCTAATTAAACGGCTGTTATACCGAGCAAGCCGGCACAACGGGAGCTGCGTGCTTATGGTCTTCGCGTTACGCCAAGAGCGGAACGGGAGAAGGAAATGGCGGAACGGTGAATTGAAATTCGCCGAGTGTATTTCGGTCGTTTGCTGGGTTTTCCAAGGCTTCTGGATTTAAGTACAATCTTGCTTACCTTCGACTACATCCTTATAAAGTTTTCAGTTTTTTTTCTTCTCGCGTATTTTAATTCCTCGCCGTTTATATCGTGGAATGTATTGTGCACGACTGTAATGCAAAGTGATTGAAAAATTACTTTACTTAAGATTCATTATGCGTTAAATTACTTTTTAATATTTTGTGTCTGTTAAATCAGAATTTAAATTTGGTTTGATTTATCTAATCATCGGTGTAATAACTATGTGAATATGGTGTTAAGTTTAATATTTTAACTTTTAATTTAACGTTAGGCTTACACATGTAAGATATACATTTGATGTAGCTATCATACACAGATTGTTACGAGTAATTTCTTAATGAATCAAATAGTTCTAAAAATGACGCACTTGGAACTGAATAACTGTGCATGATATATTCTTCTTCTAACTATATACTTTGAGTCACATAAAATGTGCCATACTAGTGGACGATTAAACGTTCAATGAAATTTCATATGATAATAAGAGCAACAGAAAAAATGTACACTGTGTTTCGGAAGCTTGAAGCATCTTCCTCCCTTTAGATTAAGGAGGTATTTCTGTGAACTTGCTTAGGTTTAACATTCTGTGTAATTGGTGTACCCATAAGAAATCCATAATTTTGTTTGAATAAAATAGTAACATAGTTTACATGCAGAATATTTTCTCGTCTTTGTTAATCAAAATGGCGAATAATCATCGAGAACCGTAGACCAATTTGCTGAAGTATAATAGCGTTTTCATTTCCTGAAAGATAAATATCGAATTTGGTAAAATATGTACAGTGAATTGTTTTTTCTTTTTAAAATGAACGTTATAATCGTATCAGATTCTATAGGAAAGAAGTTTTAAACTTACGAATGGCAGGGTACATCAAAGCAAGGAACATCATTGCTTTAAAGTGTCCGATCTACATGCAAATATAGGCACAGTTTTAGCGCCTTTCGTGTTCTCACAAAACGGCATCGTCACTCGGCAGTGTGAATCCAGTGTGAGTACCAGTCGAAGTTAAATTGCAGCTTATTATCGACATGGACGCGTATACCGAGTGATTCAATTAATTATTGTCACATTTCGTCGCAATCAAATAACAATAAACAATTTCTACTGTTCTTCCCAATATCTCTTTTAATTAAAAACTATAAAAGTTATGTCAATTCGTTGAATTGAAATTCTTCTTTTGATATAACCCTTTTACATATTGATAGGCTGTCTTGGAGACTCGA